TTTCGAATTTTCTATTTTTCGATTTTTGAATGTTTCTCCGATTTTTCAGTTTTGGGATTTTTCAACTGTTCGCCTCAAGGATTTCTCAATTTTTCATATTTTTTTTTCCAATTTCTCAGTTTTCTAATATTTCAGTTTTACGATTTTTCAATTTTTCAATGTTTGACGTTTCTAAATTTTCGATTTTTCGATTTAATCGTGTTTTCGATTTTTGAACTTATCGAGTTCTCGATTTTTTGACGTTTAGATTTTTCAATTTTTTGAGTTTCCCATTTCTCGGACTTCCGACTTCTCGATTTCTCGATTTTTCAGGTTTTTGATTTTTCAATTTTGAAAATTTTCGGTTCCAATTCTTCGACTTTAGATTTTCCGACTTTTCGTTTCCTCGATTTTTCAGCTTTTCAATTTATCAATTTTTCGATATTTCAGTTTTGGGATCTCTCAATAAATTGATTCATTAATTTTTCGATTTTTCGCTTCAATTTTTTAAATTTTAGATTTTTCGATTCTTCAACCTTTCGATTTTCTAGTGTTTCGATTTCTCGATTTTTCAATTTTTCGATATTTTAATTTTTCAATTTGTCAATTTATCAATTCTTCGATATTTTGGGATTCTTCAATTTTTTAATGTTTGACGTTTTGAAATTTTTGATTTTTCCATAAATCGTATTTCCGATTTTTTTATGGATTCCTCAATTTTTCGACTCTTAGATTTTTGATTTTTTAATTTCCTATTTCTCAGTTTTACGACTTCTCGATTTGTTAGGTTTTTGTTTTTTCAATTTTTAAAATTTTCGGTATTTCAACTTTCCGACTTACGATTTTCGACTTTTTGACTTCTCGATTTTTCAGTTTTCATTTTATCAATTTTTCGATATTTGAGTCTTAGGATTTTTCAATATTTCGATTCATCAATTTTTCGATTTATCGTTTCGATTTTTTAAATTTTAGATTTTTCGATTTTTCAACCTTCCGAGTTTTCTATACTTCAATTTTTCAATTTTTTAAATTTTAGATTTATCAAATTCTCAATTTTTCAATTTTCAATTTTTCAGGTTTTTGACTTTTCAATTTTTTAGATTTTCGGTTTTTCGATTTTTCGACTTTTCGATTTCTCAATTTTTCAATTTGTCAATTTATCAATGTTTCGATATTTTTGGGATTTTTCAATTTTTGCCTACATTTTCTAAATATTTAAAATTTTCGATTTCTTGATTTTTTATCTTTCTATTTCTCAGTTTTCTAATATTTTTTCAATTTTTTAATGTGTGCGGTTCAAAATTTTCGATTTTTCGATTAATCGTATTTATGGTCTTATCGATTCCTCCATTTTTTGACTTTTTAACTTTTTAGACTTTCGGTTTTTCGATTTTTCGACTTTTCGATTTCTCAATTTTTCAATTTGTCAATTTATCAATGTTTCCATATTTTGGAATTTTTCACTTGTTGGCTTCATTTTCTCAATTTTTCTAATTTTCGATTTCATGATTTTTTATTTTTCTATTTCTCAGTTTTCTAATATTTTAGTTTCACGATTTTTCAATTTTTCAATGTTTGCAGTTCAAAATTTTCGATTTTTCGATTAATCGTATTTATGATCTTATCGATTCCTCCATTTTTCGATTTTTTATTTTCCTATTTCTCAATTTTACGTCTGGACTTGTCAGGTTTTGGTTTTTTCCATTTTTTAAATTTTAGGTTTTTCAATTTTCCGACTTACGATTTTTCGACTTTTCGATTTTTTGAATTTTCAATTTTTCGATATTTTAAGTTTTCGATTTTTTTAATTTTAGATATTTCGATTTTTCAACTTCTCGGCAGTTAAATTTTTCAATGTTTTTGATTTTACCATTTCTCGATTTTTCGACTTCTCGATTTCTCGATTTTTCAGTTTTTGAATTAATCCATTTTTCAGGTTTTTGATTTACCAGTTTTGTAAATTCTCGGTTCTTCGATCTTTCGACTTTTCGGTTTCTAGATTTTTCAATTTTTGGATATTTCAATTCTGGGACTTTTAAATTAAGTATTTCGAGTCTTCAATTTTGGGATTCTCCAGCTTTTCAATTCTTCAATTTTTCTCTGATTCTTCAATTTTTCAATTTATCAATTTTGTGATTCTCCAATTTTTCGCTCCATCAATTTCTCAATTTTTCAAATTTCAGACTTCTCGATTTTTTATTTTTCAATTTTTCGGTTTTCTTATATTTGAGTTTTACGATTTTCTAATATTTCGATTTTTCAATTCTTTAATGTTCTTTTCAACTTTTGATTTTTGGATTTTTCTATTTTCTGTTTTTCCCATTTCTCAGTTTTTCGATTTCTCAATTTCCCGATTTTTAAAATTTTTGATTTATAAAATTTTTAAATTTTCGGTTTTTCGATTTACGCCTTACGATTTTTCAACTTTTCGATTGCTCGATTTTTCAATTTTTCAGTTTATCACTTTTCAATATTTCAGTTTTGGGATTTTTCAATTCATGAATTTTTCGATTTTTGGTTTCGAATTTTTAAATTTTAGATTTAGCGATTTTTCCATTTTTAGGTTTTTTGGTACTTGGGCGGATATCTAGATTTTTCGGTTCTTCGATTTTTCGACTTTTCGGTTTCTGGATTTTTCGATTTTTGGATATTTCAATTCTGGGACTTTTCATTAAGTATTTCGAGTCTTCAATTTTGGGATTTTCCAGTTTTTCAATTCTTCAATTTTTCTCTGTTTCTTCAATTTTTCAATTTATCAATTTTGTGATTTTCCAATTTTTCGCTCCATCAATTTCTCAATTTTTCAAATTTCAGACTTCTCGATTTTTTATTTTTCAGTTTTTCGGTTTTCTTATATTTGAGTTTTACGATTTTCTAATTTTTCGATTTTTCAATTCTTTAATGTTCTTTTCAACTTTTGATTTTTGGATTTTTCTATTTTCTGTTTTTCCCATTTCTCAGTTTTTCGACTTCTCAATTTCCCGATTTTTAAAATTTTTGATTTATAAAATTTTTAAATTTTCGGTTTTTCGATTTACGCCTTACGATTTTTCAACTTTTCGATTGCTCGATTTTTCAATTTTTCAGTTTATCACTTTTCAATATTTCAGTTTTGGGATTTTTCAATTCATGAATTTTTCGATTTTTGGTTTCGAATTTTTAAACTTTAGATTTAGCGATTTTTCCATTTTCCGGTTTTTTTGGTAGTTGGCGGATATCTAGATTTTTCGGTTCTTCGATTTTTCGACTTCTCGGTTTCTAGATTTTTCAATTTTCGGATATTTCAATTCTGGGACTTTTAAATTAAGTATTTCGAGTCTTCAATTTTGGGATTTTCCAGTTTTTCAGTTCTTCAATTTTTCTCTGATTCTTCAATTTTTCAATTTATTAATTTTGTGATTTTCCAATTTTTCGCTCCACAAGTTCTCAATTTTTCAAATTTCAGACTTCTCGATTTTTTATTTTTCAATTTTTCGGTTTTCTTATATTTGAGTTTTACGATTTTTGAATTTTTCGATTTTTCAATTCTTTAATGATTCTTTTCAAATTTTGATTTTTGGATTTTTCTATTTTTTGTTTTTCCCATTTCTCAGTTTTTAGACTTCTCAATTTCTAGATTTTTAAAATTTTTGATTTTACAATTTTTTAAATTTTCGGTGTATTACTTCAATATTCAGTTTTAGGATTTTTTAATTCATGAATTTTTCGATTTTTGGTTTCAAATTTTTAAATTTTAGATTTAACGATTTTTCCATTTTTTGGTGTTTGGATATCTAAAGTTTTCGATTCTTCGATTTCTCTATTTTTTAATTTTTCGAACTTGTTAATTTTAGATTTTTCAATGTTTTGATGTTTTGATTTCTCGATCTTTCAGTTTCAGATTTTTCGGTATTTAAAATTAATTTTTCTATTTTTCACGTTTTTTTTTTAATTAGAGGATGTTTTTTTTAATGTAAATGTGATCCGTAATTAATTTTGAAAAAATAAGTCAAATTTGTGTAACATTTTGGAATTTAACCTTAAAACTGCAAAATCGAATGCTCTGAAATCTTACAAACGTTTTAAGGTTATTGTAATCATCGTCATTTCGTCAATCAAAATTTAATAATTTATCCCCTCCCAAAAACTCGATGACGTCATTTCAAATTTTTGCCGAAATATGCAAAAATATTATGACTCATAGTTTTTAAAATTACTTATATAGGTGATCCAAAAAATTAATGAATGAGTTAATTTAATTTATTGATTAAATCAGGAACGACTCACTCTATTTTCCCAAAATTGTGGGAATTTTATTTTTATATTTACTTTAACATTACTTGCATATTTGTATTTAAACTTATAAAAAAAATAAAATTCATAAAATCAAATATTATAATTTTTGAAAAAATCTTTGCAGTTTTAATTTCATGAAGCACAAAATTATGTTTAATTTCAAAAAGAATTCAATAGATTCGAATAGTTAATTGAAAAGGTGAAATACGAACAAAACATAATTAAAAATCTAGAAATAAAACTCAAAAATATTAATTCTCAAGACTTTTGTGTTAATTTTTAAATTTGTTGTAAATTCGTAATACAATGAAAATGTTCAGTAAAATACTGAAAAAAAAGTTCCATTTAAAAAAAAAGTCGTTTTCGTTGGCGAAGCAATCAAGAGTGATACAATTACGTGCACGATGTTCCAATTCGCCTTTACTTCGTCGGATTTCTATGCTAAATTTATTTTCTGAGCAAGCAGTAGCAATTTTCCGAGATTACTTGGGACCGAAAACCCGTCAAAGGTTTCCTCATGATGTCGCATTAAACAGATTCGGATTAAAAAATTTAAATACCAAATCTGTTAAATCTTTCTTAAAAAAATATTTACTTCACAAATCGATTCCTCCTTTCTTTTTCGCCAACTTTTCTCCACATTCCAAGCCTGCTTCGACTGATTTATTTACCGGAATTTTCATTCACTTATTCAATTAATTAAACCTTCAAGATTTCTATATTATAACCTTCCTTCTTCTTTCTAGGACATTTTTCGTAATGGACCTTCGCCAGGACAATGAGGCCTCCAAGGATCCTGCGGTGGAAAAAGCAGTCCTGTCCTTCGACGAGGACGACTTCGAAGGTACGTCCATCCTAAAAAATCCGTGTCAAGGTCTTAATTTTCCGCATTAAACAAACACACTTTTCGCCCGGCTCCAGGCACACATTTATCGCGACGCGTCCGGAAAAAACAATTTCTATTTACATAACTGCATAATTACTGAGGACACGTGTCCGGAATAAGACGATTTTCATTGTATTAAGTGACAAGAGCGAGCTTTAATGAAACGCGAAAATCGATGCGAGATTAAAGAAAATTTTATTGCGTTTTTTTGGGTGGAAGATGACGGAGATAAATCTGTGCTGCGACAATTATTTGATTTCTGGGGGCGGAAAATTGGGGCGGGATTCGGTATTCTCTGATGGATTGTTCGTTAATTTGCTATATTTCACTGGGTCGAAGGGGACGGTTTGATTGCATTAGTCGGACTGATGGGTGGATTAAAGTGATTTGCGGGCGATTCGAGAAATTTTTGCTCGGATCGTTGTTATTAATGGCGCTGTTTATTCGTGGATGTTTATTTAGTGATAGTATTAAGCAATAAGAGTTTTTTTTTACTTCCGAGCTTTATCGCAGAAGTTTACGAGATAAATATTGTTTAAATTTTATGCTCATTAATTAATATATAAATATGCACTAATTAGTTAATTACAAATAATTTCATACAGTGTTCAGTTTTTACCTTAGATGTCCAGATTTTTGGAAAAAAATCAAAATTGTATAACAACATTTTGCAATTTAACAAATTTTTCGTTTTTTCATGTTTAATGTTTCAATTTTTTGAATTTTTTGACTTCCAAATTTTTCAGTTTACGTTTCTTCAATTTCTCAATTTTTCAATTTTTCGATATTGCAATTTTTCGTTTTTTCATTTTTCAGTTTCTCAATTTTTAATTTTTCGATGTTTCGTTTTCCCAATTTTTCAAGTTTTCATTTGCCCGGTTTTTTAATTTTCGTTTCCTCGATTTTTTATCAATTTTTGGTTTTTTCATTTCCTGTATTTTTTCAACGTGTCTTTCGACCTTAAAACTTTTCATTTATTCAATTTTTCAAATGTCAACTTTGCATTTTTTTTTGTTTCTCAATTATCCGATTTCTCTACTTTTCAATATTTCAGTTTTACAGTATTTCGTTTTTTCGATTTTGCACTTTTTTGATTTTTAAGTTTCTAAATTTTTAATCTTTTGGTCTTTTTCTGTTTCGTCAATTTTTCAAAATCTTGATTTAAAATTTTTAGGTTTTTCAAATTTTTTATGTTTGGCGTTTGTGAATTTCCGATTTTTCGATTTCTTGATTAATCCTGTTTTCGCTTTCTAAACTTACCGATTCTTCGATTGTTCGACTTTTTTCGATTTTTTGATTTTCCCATTTCTCAGGTTTCCGACTTCTCGATTTCTCGATTTTCCAAGTTTTTATTTTTTTTAATTTTCGGTTTTCCCATTTTTCTATTTTTCGTTTCGCTAAATTTTAGATTTATCGATTTTTCAATTTTTCGATTTTTAGAATTTTCAATTTATCGAGTTCTCGATTTTTCAATTTTTGAATTTGTCCATTTTTCAGGTTTTTGACTTTTCAGTTTATTAAATTTTCGGTTTTTTCATTTTTCGATTTCTCGATTTTTTATTTTTCTATTTCTCACGTTTCTAATATTTTGGTTTCACAATTTTTTTATTTTTTTAATGTTTGACGTTTTTTTTCAAATGTTCGATTTTTCAATTCTTCGACTTTTTGATTTCACGATTTTTGAGTTTTTTAATTTATCAATTTTTTGATATTTTGAGTTTTCGGATTTTTCAATATTTCGATTCAACTTTTCAATTTTTTAAATTTAAAATTTTTTGATTTCTCAACTTTTCGATTTTTTGGTGTTTCGATTTCCCTATTTTTCAATATTTCGATATTTCAGTTTTGAGACTTTTCAGTATTGCAATTCATCAAGTTTTCGATTTTTCGTTTCGAGTTTTACATTTTTGAATTTATTGGATTTTTTTAGTTTTAGATTTTTCGATTTTCAACTTTTCAGCAGATACATTTTTCGACGTTTTGCCTTCTCGATTTTTCAATTTTTCCATATTTCAGTTTTAGGACTTTTCATTTTTTGATTCTTCAATTTTGAGAATTTTCAGTTTTTCGGTTTTTCAATTTTTCTCCGATTCTTCAATTTTTCTATTTATCAATTTCTCCACATCTCAATTTTGTGGTTTTCCAATTACATCAGTTTCTCAGTTTTCCAATATTTCAGTTTCACGATTTTTCAATTTTTCGATTTTTCACTTTTTTGATGTTCCTAAATTTTCGATTTTCAGATTTTCGATTTTTTATTTTTTCCACATCTCGGTTTTTCGACTTCTCGATTACTCGATTTTTCAAATTTTTGATTTTTTATTTTTTTAAATTTTCGGTTTTTACGATTTTTTGACTTTTCAGTTTCGCGATTTTTCAAGTTTTCAAATTACCACTTTTTCAGTATTTCGCTTTTGGGATTTCTCAATCCATGAATTTTTCGATTTTTGGTTTCCATTTTTCAATTTTTCGATTTTTCATTTTTTTTTTTAATTAGAGCTGAGATTTCTGAGTGCATGTTGTTTTTTCATGTTTGATTTTTTTTTTATTTTTTTAAATTCTCATATTCCAAATTTTTCAGTTTTCATTTCTTCAATTTATCAATTTTGCAATTTTTCGATGTTACAATTTTTCGTTTTTTCATTTTTTCAGTTTCTCAATTTTTAATTTTTCGACTTTTCAGTGTTTCGTTTCTCCAATTTTTCAAGTTGTTTTCATTTCCCCGATTTTTTAATTATCGTTTCCTCGATTTTTTATCAATTTTTCGTTTTTTTCAATTTTGCAAGTTCTTGATTTCAAATTTTTCGAGTTTTCCAAGTTTTCATTTTATAATTTTTCGTTTTTTTAAGTTTTATTTTTCAATTTTACAATTTGAAAAAATGCAAAACTGAAACATTGAAAAACTATAGGTCGAGCTTAAAAATTGAAAAAATTAATTAATCGGGAAATTGGAAAACCCATTTTATATTTTGTCGTTTTTTAATTTTTGATTTTACTATTTTGCAAAAATTTAAAATCTAAAAATTAAAAATCCGAAAACTAAAAAAACGGAAAAAATTAAAAATCGAAAAACAGAAAAAATGAGAAATTGCGAAATTGGAAAATCAAAAAATTAAAAATCGAAATACTAAAAAAACCAAAAAACTAAAAACTGAAGAAGTGAAAAAAATTGCAAATCGAAGAAGTGAAGAAATGAAAAATTGAAAGATTGTAAAACTAAAAATCGAGAAAATTAAAAATCGAAAAAAATTAATGAATTGAAAAATTGGTAAGAAGGAAAAGGTTTTTGGCTTTTTAAGTTTTTTAAATTTTCGGTTTTTCATTTTTTCGACTTGGCGATTTTTCGACTTTTGAATTTCTCGATTTTAAAATTTGTCAATTTATCAGTTTTTCGATATTTTGGAATTTTTCAATTTCATCATTTTCTCAATTTTTTAAATTTTCGATATCTCGATTTTTTATTTTTCAGTTTCATGATTTTTCAATTTTTTAATATTTTGACGTTTAAAAATGTTCGATTTTTCCATTAATTGTAATATTTTAGATTTTTCAACTTATAAATTCCTCGATTTTTCGACTTTTAGATTTTTCGATATTTTAAACTGAAAAAATGAGAAATTGCTAAATTGGAAAATCAAAACATTAAAAATCGAAATACTCAAAAAACGAAAGAACTAAAAACTGAAGAAATGAAAAAAATTGCAAATCGAAGAACTGAAGAAATGAAAAATTGAAAGATTGTAAAACTAAAAATCGAGAAAATTAAAAATCGAAAAAAAATTAATGAATTGAGAAATTGGTAAGAAGAAAAAAGGGATTGAATTGAAAATTGGAATACCCAAAAATTGTGAAATCAAAGAATTGTAAAGTTTAGAAACTGACATTGGAAGACAGAAAAATTGAAAAATTAAATATTGAGAAATTCAAAAAGTAAAAACTTAAAAATTGAACAATCGAATAAATGAAAACGTTTTAAAATACAGTAATTGAAAAATGAAAAAATAGCAAATCGAAAAATTAAAATCAGAACATTGAAAAACCGAGAAATTGAAAAAATAAATAAAAATCTAAAAGGAATAAAAAATGAAAAATCGAGTAACTGAAAATTAACAGTTGAAAACTCCTAAAATACTTGCGGTCCTTGAAGTTTTTGGCATCCTTGGAATATTTAAAGCCTTTCAAACTTTTAGAACATTAAGAACTTTCACAATGTTTTAGTAAAATGTTTAGGATATCTATAATTTCTAGAATTGTGTAAACTTCTGGAATTTTCAGTTAATTCCAGATTTTCCTTATGTTATAAAATTAGTAATTACTGGATATGTCAAAATATGCAAAGTTCTAATTCTTTGCATTTTTGGAACCTCTGAAATTTTCTTTAGAATCTCTAGGCATTAAAAGATAATAATTAGGATCTTATGGACCTGTATTGTTAATAGGATTTCTAAAATTCAAAGGAAGGATTTTTAAGATATTTGTTTTTTTTTTAGAGTTTGAATATTTAATATATTTGGCATTTTAAGAGTTTATGCGAGTTTTATAAGTTTTAGAATGCTTGGAATTTTTGTAAACTTGACCTGAGCTGAAAAGTAAAATCGAGAAGTTAAAATATTTAAAAACGAGAAATTGAAAACAGAGATGCTAAAATTGAAAAAAAAACATGAATTAAAACATCCAAAAATCGCAAATTAAGAATCGTAAAATTAGAAATCGAGAAACTGAAAAATGAAAAATCGATCAACTGAAAAATTTAATAAATTGTAAAAAAGAAAAATTTCAAAATCATGAAATCGAAAGATGAATATTTGCTTATTTGAGGTAGGAATTATTCGGCAAGATTTTGAGACGACGTCATCAATTTTTTGTGAGGGGGTAACTAGAAAAAATTTGATTAACGATTGATCATGCTTGCGATAAGCTTAAAACGTTTGCAACTTCAAAGTTAGAATACAATTTTG